GGACTGGAGGCATGGTTCATGTGGTAGAGCTCCAATCTAGCCAGGATAAGCCCTGAATTCAAACCCCTGGTACTAAAAATAAAAAAAAAAAATTAAAAAAAGATGCCCCAGCTCAAAGGAATGGATTCAGTTTGGAATTTCCTAGAAGGCGGGAAGGCCCCCAGAGACAGCACATACCAAAGCTCCTGAGGCACTCTCCTCAGATGACTTTCTGCACCTGAGTCTGACCCTTTGCCTATCTTCTCCTGCAGGGTTGGTTCCTGACCTCGTAAGGCTCTGTAGTCTAGCTGGAACCCCTGGGAACAGGAACTAGCTCACAGATCAATACCCCAATCTTCCATATAGGCATGAGTGCTCTAGGAACGGGGGAATCCAAATTAAAGCTGGGAAGACTTGTTAACAAGGCTCTGGGAGGAAGATGGAGAGTTAGGAGGAGATCATGGGTCTTGGAGGTATGTGGAGGGTAAGGGAGCATGTATTTTCATCTTCCCACCCACACTTCAGGAAGCCTACTTTAAGAAGCACAAGTTTAACACAGTTCCAGGTGTCCAGCTTAGGAACGTGGACAGGTAGGAACTGACTTCAGGGCAGCGGGGGGGCAGGGGGGAGGGAGGAAAGTGGGGGGACTGGAGGACTGGAGGGGAATATCTAGTAACTTCCAGTCTTGGGGATATTCTGTGTTTACCTGAGCCTTTTTGTGCCCTTTTTCCATGTTCACTCCTTGCCCTACCCATTGTTAACCTGCTCCACCCTTAACTCATTTTGCCTTTTCCTTTAGTCTGAAGAAAGAAGCTTATGAAGTGGAAATTCACAGGTTACTCAGGTATGGCAGATCAAATACTAGCATTCACAGCTCCATAATTTGTGGGGTCTTGTACAAAACAAAAATGAGTATCCCTAGTTCAGATATGGTTAAGAATTCAGGCCAGGTGCCAGTGGCTCACACCTATAATTCTAGTTATTCAGGAGGCTGAGATCTGGAGGATTAGAGTTTGAATCAACCTGAAAAGACAAAAAAAACCCAGACTTCAGGGATTGGTGGCGTGACTAATGACTAGTAGTAGAGCACTTGCCTGTCAAGTGTAAGATTCTGTGTTCAAACTCCAGTTCTAATACACACACACAAAATAAGGATGGAACAGTAGAACATTAAACAGGTCTCAATTGACACCTTGGTCTTCTCCATCCCCCACTGCAGTGAGGCTGAGGTTTTGGACCACAGCAAGAACCCCTGTGATGATTCCTTCCTACCAGACACAGAGGGCCACACCTACGTGACTTTTATCCGAATGGAGAAGGATGATGACTTTACCACCTGGACCCAGCTTGCCAAGGTGCCTGAAATCAATGCCCACCGCAGAAGTATCCTTCCTATCCTTCATGCACTCCCTCCACACCTGGGCGGGCTTCCTTCTGGAGTCTTCAACTTTGGAACCTTCTTGTCATACTTTGGGAGCCCCTCTTCTAACTTCCTTGTCCAAATGCATGTTGTGGGTTGTAGGTGGCCCCAGCTGATGGCTCCCTCACCCACTCCTCCCATGTCTCACCCCTGCCAGTGCCTCCATGTCTGGGACCTGGATGTGCGTGGCAACCACCGGGGCCTGTGGAGACTATTTCGGAAGAAGAACCACTTTCTTGTGGTGGGGGTCCCAGCCTCCCCCTACTCGTGAGTGACCTTTTTCTGCCCTGGGAAATTGGTCTAGTGAGCAGGAGGCAACCACATCTCACATGTATATATTCTGTTATCTTCCAGAGTGAAGAAGCCACCATCGGTTACCCCAATTTTCCTGGAGCCACCCCCAAAGGAGGAGGGAGCCCCAGGAGCTGCTGAACAGACATGAGGCCTCTTCCAGACCCCTGCAAGGCTGGGTACTGTGTACCCCAGGCAGGCTAGCCCTTCACCTGTCCTGTAGGATTTTGTAGAGCTGGTAGGGGCTAGGGCTGGTTTGTTTTTAACCTGAGATTTAATTACTAACTCCAAGGGGAAGGGTTCCTCTTGCTCCAACACCCCTGTTCCTGCGTTTAAGGTCTATTTATTTACTTCCTTGTTGGAGAAGGACAGGAGAATGCCTGGGAATGTTTGGGGTCCCTGGGCAGCTGATCTTGCTCTTTGTATCCCCTCCTCGCAGACCTGGATGACACTCTAACCTATTTATTGACTGTCCTGAGGGCCTTGGGCATAGGCTCAACCTGGTGGGCCTTGATTCCTTTTGGGACTGGGATGCTGCCCTGAGAGTGGGGCTGGCTCTTTCTTACTCAGGAAACTGCTGTTCCCAACTGACCAACAGGCCCAGTTGGGGCCCAAGTGTTGACACAGACTCACTCAGAGACCCTTAGACACTGGACCAGGCCTCCTCTCAGCCTCCTCTTTGTCCAGATTTCCAAAGCTGGATAAGGTGGTTATTGATTAAAAAAGGAGAAAACCTCTGGGGATGTGTTTGTGGTCGATTATGTGTCTAGGGACAGTTAAGGGCAGAAGTGAAGGAGAGAATTATCTAGATGGATGATGAGGTTTCCCTTACCGTCTCCCATGGGGTTTATCTTCCATTTGAAGCCACCAGGGGATGCCCGAGTTTCAAGCTGCAAGGTTTCTCCCCAGCCTCCACCCTAGGATTGGCCGACTTTAGTCCCACCCTTCTCGGGGCTGAGTTCCAAGCTGCCATTCCACAGCCCTTCCCTGCTGTTTAACCTCAGCTGGGTCCTGCTTTGCTGTCTGGGCCAGACACCTGTCCCCAGAGACAGAGCAGGAGAAACAAAAGGCATAGCTGGGGTGGAAGAAGGAATAGCATAGTAGGTAAGCATAATGAAGGTGAGCAAGGAGTGGCTGAGACAGGAACAGCGTGGCAGCAGGGGAGAGTGTGGAGATGATTTTGCTGGAGACAAGGCAAGCATCAGTCAGGGCTAGGTATGGGCAGAAGGTAAGCGAAGGAGCAAGGTTGACCATGGCCCTTAGAATATGTTATATGGAGAGCTGGGAGTGTTGGCTTAGTGGTAGAATGCTTCCGTAGCATGCTTGAAGCCCTGGGTTCAATTCCTCAGTACCACATAAACAGAAAAAGCCAGAAGTGGTGCTGTGGCTCAAGTGGTAGAGTGCTATCCTTGAGCAAAAGAAGCTCAGAGACAGTGCCTAGGCCTTGAGTTCAAGCCCCAGGACTGGGGGGAAAAATGTTATAGAATTTCCTTTCCTTTTTTTCTTTCTTTCCTTTCTTTTTCTTTTTTTCTCTTTTTGGTTGGTCGTGGGGCTTGAACTCTAGGCCTGGGCGCTGTCTCGGAGCTCTCTCTACCACTTGAGCCACAGTGCCACGTCCGACCTTTTCTGTTTATGTGGTGCTGAGGAGTCAAACCCAGGGCCTTGTGCATGTAAGGCAAGCGCTCTACCACTGAGCCACCTTCCCAGCCTCCCCCACTTTTTTTTTTTTTTTGATGTACCAATATTGTGTTTGAACTTAACTGTAGGCGCTGTCCCAGAGGGTTTTTGCTCAAGGCTAGTTCTGTACCAGCTGAGGCATGCCTCCACTTCTCACTTTTCAGATAATTGGAGATAAGCCAGTCCTGGAGGGCTTGGAACCTCGATCCTCAGATCTCAACTTCCTGAGTAGCTCGAATTA